TGGCAAGGAGGTGTGGTCATTGGGAGCCACCTGAGACCTGTGGGAAGGGGACGCTGAGGTGGCTCCCTCAGGCCAGTGGGTCAAAGTGAGAGGGGGCAAGGTCTCCCCAGAATCCCGTTTCCAGCCAGCACACACTGGGTACTTTCACACACTGTCCCCAGAACTAGATGGGGTGGGGCCAAGGAAGCCAGCGCTGAGTCCCAGGCATGCAGTCCCCAGTGTGGTCCCCAGCACCTCTCTCCTTCCCACAGGCCCCAGCACTCAGAATGGCTATGGACCAGGTAGGGGCAGGGCAGGAGTTCTGGGAGGCCCCAAAATGGGAATTCTGGGTCCCTCACCTGCTCTGTCTCTCCTTCAGGCCTTGGAGGCATCATGAAACCCCAGAAACCAGGTGAGCCCAGCCCTGCCCCTGGCTCTCCCTGCCACCTCAATACCCTGAGCACCTTTTCTCACTCCTACCTGCACCCCAATCTGTCCCCCAGGGTTCGAGAATGGGCATGGGCCGGGGGCCCAGCCAGGTGAGTGGGGTCTGGGTGGGTGAAGAGTTCCCTGGAATGCCTCCAGGTGGGGTCTGGGGGATGATGACGGGGAGGGCGGGAGCCTCCAGGATCTCTGGTGTCTGGTTTGGTCACCCCACCTCATCCAGGATCCCAAGACCCCCTGTCTCCCCTCCCTCTCCTCACAGGCCCCCCAGCTCAGAATGGCTATGGAGCAGGTACTGAGGGGTTGGGAGGGGCTGGGCTCAGGATGATAGGGTTTTGGGGTGTCAGGGAGATGGGGGGCCCTGGATCCTCTAGCAGCTCCCCATTTCTCCCACAGGCTTTGGAGGAGGTATGAAGCCTCAGAAGCCAGGTAGGCCCCTCCCACCCGCCCTCACCTGCCTTGTCTCTTTGCAAGTTCAAACTCCCTTCCCCTTATTCCACCTCCATCTGCCCTCCAGGATTTGGAAATGGGCTGGGAATCCCCCCAGGTGAGAGGTGGGATATGGGGAGGGCTTCCTGCCTGGGTATCAGAGGGGTGGGCTGTGGGGAGTGGTAGAGGGGCAGATGCGAGGGTTCCGGGTTGCTGACTTGGTCTAGGTCCACCTTCACATCGCCTCCCCACCCCACTCCGCCCTTCACTCCCCCCGGAGGACCAATGGTCTTAGAAAGGTTACAAGAGCAGAGAGCTAAAGAATGGGGGAGGAACTGGATGAGGCTTTGAGCTAGGGGCCCAGGTCCTTCACCCGATGACTGACTTCCCCCTCCCTCCCCCTCCCCAACAGGTTTTGGAGGAGGCCTCAAGCCCCAGAAGCCAGGTGAGTGGTACCCTGGTCCTCTCTTTATCACTGAGCACCCCACCTCATGCCACCCCCTCTCCCTAGAACTCAGCCCTTCTCTGGGGCAGGAGCCTGGGCTCCTTAGAGCCAGGCCAGGCCAGCCCAATGGTGCTGGGGTGGGGGTGCTGGGACTTAGCCTCTCCGTCTCTCCCCTGGGCCTGGAAGTGGGGGGCTTGGAAGGGGGTGCAGAACCTCAGAAGACAGGCAAGGGCTTCTTTTTCCCCGGCCTTTCTCCTGGCGCTCAGCCCCTTTTCCCTCCTCAGGATATGCTAACGGGCATGGGCTGGGTGCCCGCTGGCCAGGTGAGACTCCTGGGTCAAACCCTGCAGAAATGGGGGGTGGGGGGTGGGAGAAGTAAGAGCTGGGGACCAGGAGGAGGGTTGGGACCTGCAGGGGAGGGCGTTGGGTTGAGTCAGTTTGCCCCTTCAGGCCTCAGAGGGGGTGTGAAAACTC